ATAGGCAGGATTGGGGAGCAGGAAAAAACCCATTGCCTGGAGCGAGCCTGGCATGGGTTGAAACTCTTTCCCAGAGGAATATTTGAGGGAAGCAGAAGTTTTCAAATGTGTTTCACCAAGAGGCTCCGTTGAGGTGCACGACGTAAGGGGACAGATTTTAGAGCCAGTTAGATAATGTTAGAGCTGTTTGGGTTTTAAACAAAGACTTGTTTTCCTGACCTTGGCAAGGGATGAAGCACCAGCAGCTCCTGGGATGTGTGTCCCGGGGTGTTGGGAGCTGGTTGCTGAGCTGGGTTGTGACCAATCCAAGGGACACGCTTCACCCTCCTGCTCTTTGTCATCCTGGTGAAGGTGCCACCAACAGGCTTGGTCACCTCCCCGTCCTCAGGGCTGTCCTGATGGAAGGCTGGGGAGTTGGGAGGAGAATTGGCTGGGAAACAGGTTTCCTTCCCTCTCCAGCACGTGCCTTATGCAGCACTTCCCTTCTCAGCCTTTGGGCTGCTCCCTGTGGGGCTCACTTGGAGCATCCTGGACTCTGACCGTAACATTCTCACTCTATTCCAGGTACTTTTATTTTTAAAGCTCCTTTTTTTTTTTCTTTTCTTTGTTGAGCTCCTTGGCTCTGGCCTTAAGGGCAAAGACCAAGCAGGAATCCTGGATTTTTCCTAATCCTGCAGCTGTGAGTCCTGTTTCCTGCCTTGTGTCCAGACCCCAGCTCCCTCTTGTTTGTTTGTTTTTAAGATACTTCTCTCTTAAGACCTGCATATCTAGGGTAGGAAAACTGATGTGTTTTCTTGGATGAGCAGGCCCTGGCAGCAGGGAATGATGCCACACACTGACCATGACCACAGGGGTTCCAGCTCATTTGTTTCCCTGTTTCCTTAGACTTTTGGGGTGGTTTTGTTATTTTGGATATGTAATAGAGCTCGTCCCAGAACACACGTGCTGAGTTATCTTTTCTATTAAAAAAATGTGTGACAACTTGAGAGTTTAAAGTCAAGGAGGAGGCAGGACTTCTGGAACCTCTTTTTTGTTTTTTAACTACTGGGGAGAAAAAAGGAATGTTGAAAAGGCTGCAGGGAAGAAGGGAACTGAAACAAGGGAGTGGAATGGCAGCTTTCAGGTTCACACTGGGAGTGTTTCTAAAAGCAAAGCGTGCCAAGTGTGTCCTCAGATAGGAGGAACTAAACCTCTTTGATACGTGTGATTTGTAGAATTGGGTTCTAGGAATTGAAAACCAGTCTCACTGGTGGGTCTTGGGGGGTCTGGGTGGTTTCAACCTTTGCTGTAGGGCCCCAAGTGCAGACCTGGCAGTTCAGCTGGGGAGGTGGAAGAGCAGCCCTGGTAAAACTTGACCTCTTTTCAAATCAGGGGGCTTTATTTTCACATCAGGTGGGGAAGGGGAGCTGTCCCTCAGCTGCCCACTGCACAAGCAGCACAGTGACTTGTGCTTTTCATGCTAAAACTCTGCTTTTCATTTCCTCACCTTCGTGACCAAAGCAGAGTTGGGTTTGGTGGTGACCAGCAGGAGCTTCTCACTTGGCCTCGTTGCTGAGCATCCCCAGGACAGCTCATCCTCAGGGAGCTGCAGGGCTGGGGTCAAAACACCCAGGGCTCTTGTTTTTGTTGGTGCCAGATGATGTCAGACAGCCTGACAGGTCAGATCCCCTCGGGTGCTGTGACAAGTGGGGTGTCTGTGAGGGGCTGGAGGGCAATAGAGGGACCTGTGGGGAGCAGAACTGGCTGGTTCCTTAACGGTGGCTCATTAAGGGCATGGGATGACTAATTACTGGAAGGAATAGCCTGAAATCTGCATGGACTCTCAGGGTAGAGTCACTGCTCTCTGTGCTCCAGTTGTGCCCCTTTCCCAACACATTCACTTCCCATTAATCAGCACCCAGTGGGTGATTAACGAGATCGATTGGGTATTTTTAATTAAACCACCCCAGCCTTGGACACTGTGGCCTCTCTCCTCCCCAGCTGCTCTGACCCTCTCAGCTCAGCACACAAACCCCAGGCTGGTTTTTGGCAGCTCCTGACTCCCTCTTTCCTTCCAACCTCTCTTTGCAACTTGAATTTTCCTCTTCTACAAAAATACTGTTTGCTGGGGCTGGGAGGGGGGATGGGGGTGTCCCCAAAAAAGCTGCACGTTGGCAGAAGGGCTGCCCTGGTGGAGTGACTGTAAATACACTGTCTGTCAGATGTCATGGCCATTGGATTTGATTTGTTTGGGTTGGTTGTTTTTTTTTTGCATTTCTTTTTAAACTATTCCATGTTTGATACTGTGTATAATAAATTTGCAGAATTTAGAGGATTATCATAACTGGCTTTGTTCTTCCTCTGCCTGACAACATGGGTGAGACCTGCTTGGCTTGGTGGGGCTTGTCCTGTCACCATCCCTGACTTTCTGTCACCATCCCTGACTTTCTGTCACCTTTGCCCTGTGGTAGAGCCCTGGGAAGGGTGACAATGTCCCTCATGTCCCCTTCTCTGGGAACAAGAGCCTCTTCCCCTGAGTGTGCAACCCCCCCCGTGGGCAATAATTGAGCCAAGGCCTCAGGTTTGTTGAAATAGATTAATTTATTATTTTTTTTAATTGCATTTCTGCAGGTTTTACAAAAATATGACAAAAATAAATTAAAAAGAAATAAATAACCCCCTTCCTTACTTTTCGTTTCCAAAGAAATAAAACACAGCAAGGGAGGAAAAAAAAGCAAAACCAAACCAAAACCAACCCAACTCTTCCCTCCTTGGTTCAGGAAGTGCCCGCAGGGTGGGAGCCCAGGCAGGTGCCTGCTTGTAGAAATCATATGTATAGAGAAATGTTTAAAAATACCCTGGTCTGGGGGGTCCTGGCAGCAGCAGGTCCCTGCCCTCCCCTGGGGCATGCAGGGTGGGAAGAGGTGGTTCTGGGGCTGGGACTCCCAGGAGGGAAATGGGATGAAAGGAACTGCCTTTCGACCAGGGTTGGAGGGGGGCAGAGCTGAGAACTGGCCCCCCAAATTAAATGGAAGGAGTGAGTCCTGCCTGCTTTAGGGGTGCAGGCAGGTCTGGGGGGAGTCTCAGGCTCTGCACAATGCTTGGGGGAGCAGTGGGGGTTTGGGGTGACCTGGTACCCCCAGCCTGGCCCTCATTTTTCTTCCATCCCCTCCAGGGCATGGCCATGGGTCTCCAGGGGTTTCCCAACACTCCTTTTTCTCTGGTTTTGTCCCAGAAATCTTTCCTGCATCCTCTGCTCCTCCTGTGGGAGGGTGGGGGGGGGAGCAGTGGCCCTGGGGAGGGGGCTCTGGGGGGACAGCAAAGCTTGTGACCTTGTCCCCTCTGCAGTGCAGGGAGCCCACCCTGGTGGCCTTGACCTTGGAGAGGATCTCCCTGCCAGGCTCAGCCCTGGCCTCTCCTGCCCTTATTGCTCTGGAAAATGGCTTAATTCAAAGACAAATAAAATTAAACAACACGATGTGTGGAAAGAGATGGCTGGGGGTTGTAAATACCTCT